GGGGGGGCGACCCCCTCGGGGGGGAAGACGCACGTGAAAAGCGCGTCCATCTCTTCGGGCAGTGGAGCCCCGCCCTTAACGGAGTCTGCGGCACATAACGCGTCCGCGCGGGACCTCGCGCCGCCACGCCCAAGGTACAAGGGCTTTGCTTGAGGGGGTTGAATTGTAGGGGGGATAAATGCAGTTTTTATTGAGTTTCCAGAATCAACACTTTGTAGGCTTTGGCGTGCACGTTTTTAGTTGATTTTTCGTTTACTGCTATCAGTGTTTTTTTTTCTTATTCGAAGTAAATCAGTGTTTTAAAGGAATCAGCAGAGTTATTGGAGATTTAAGTATTTGCGTGGATATATGGATGAATGTGTTTTGTTTTTAACTTTTTTTCTAGATTCAGTCGTTAGATTATTTGATACACCTGCTTTTGCAAGTGCTTTTAGATAGTTTTTAATAGAAATGCACTTGGGATTTTAGCACTGGTGTTTCGCTATTCTCTTTGCACTTTTCTATATCTTAGAAATGTAGTAGTGCTTAGTTGTTATTTTTTTTAAACGTTATAATTATGACATGTTTTAGAATAGGTAATAGAAGGATTATTTTTCAATTTGTTAATATAACATGACGAGAAAAAAGTTTTTTCAATAGTTTAAAATTCTTATATTTATAACCGCTGTATAGAATTTGTATTGGACCATGTTGAGTAATTGGACTAAGTTGTGTTATTATTGTGGATGGTTAGTACTTAGTTATGCAAGTTATGTTTCCAAGCCCTATTCGCACGGGCGTTTTTATTACGCGCGTTAAAAAAACGTTCAGATAGAAATGCATTACCGTGTATTTGTTTATACTGGCTTTTACAACGCGATGCTTTTTTTATTCCGCAGTGTTGCATTTTCAGCGCTACGTGAACGTAATATGAGCGTTATATGATTTTAAAGTGTTTATGTAAGCGTCAAATAACAGCTCGTAGGAATAAGGGCTAAGATATCAACGCTTAATATAATGTTTTATCTATTTTTATTGTTTATAACAATGTTTATAGTTTTTAAAATATTTTTTTCTTTTTTTTCTAACTAATGCATGTCTAGTTTTATATTTTCATGTTTATTTTATTATTATTATATAGATATTATTTAATTACTTTTATTAGTTATTTATTTATTATTGTTTTTATTTTTATATTTTTTTTATTATCTATACCTATATATAGTAGTTTGGAACTTACAAATTATAGAATTAAAAAGGAAATTTTCCCCAATATTATAATTGTTTAAATTACTTCACTACATAGATGAAAATTGTTTATTAAATAATAGTTTATTTAAAAAACTTAAAATCTTTCATGATGATGATGATTCCATTTTCATGACAGTCATCTAAGAATGCCATAAAACACTTCCACACACAACAATTCTAAATAAAAAAACATTCAACTAGAGAAAATGTACCTTAAGGTAATAGTAATACAGTTCATAATACTCAAGCATTATCACACAAAGTAGAAACCTTTTTGTACCTTAAAGTAATACTAATAAAGCACTTTTTACTTCAACAATCGAAAGCAAACACACAAAATAACACAGTAAATGAAACCTTAACACCAAGTGATAGAGCATATAATGGTCAAACAGCCTCAACTCGAGCCTGTCTAGCGGCGGCGCGGGCGCGGGCGCGGCCGGCCGCCGGGAGTTCCCCAACCCGCTCGTCTTCCCCAGGAATGTGCCTTCGCGGTCCACCTTCCACTCAGGTGAGTTCACCTCCTTTGTATCTTGAAAGGTGATAGCCCTACAATGTTTGAAAAGGTGGCAGATGGTTTATAGAAACTTAGATAGTGTAAAAATGACATTGTCAGATAAGGTAACAAAATCCGATTCTATCACATATTTTACATGTTGGATTGTTATCAGACAGTTTATCATTTGGTGGAACAGGCCCTTAAACTCTTAAAAGGTTAGGTGAAATACAATTTAATTAAAAAGGGAGTCCGTTGTAATGAGATTACTCTATGTGTGCTACATAAATCTTACCTTCTTACTACTATTTATACTTTATTTTTAATAAGAACTAGCTGTTGCTCGCGACTTCGCCCATGTGATTTTTTAAATAATAAAAAATTAGCCTTTTTACTTACTGATAATGTAGATTTTGAATGGTGAAAGAATTTTTGATATCGGTCCAGTAGTTTGTGAGTTATGTCAATACATACAAAAATCCAAATCTTTTCCCTTTATAATATTAGTATTGATTGTGAAAAAATATTGTAATGTGTGTATAAATAGGTCAAACGCGATCGCGCGGGTCGAGCGCGGGCGGCGCGTACGGGGACGGCGGCTCCCCGCACCAGGCGCGACCCTCCTTCTTCTCCAAGCTCTCCTCGCGCTTCTCCAAACGGTCGGTCCATACATACATACAACCCATACATACATACATACAATCCTAACACAATATCCACTATCGTAATAATGCAATTCCCATATCTCATTCTCTTTGAGTTATAGGACGGGAATAGTATTCTTATATTTAAATTTACTTCTGTTGTATTTGAAATTCTAGGTAATTGTTTCTTATAGTAAAATATATCGTTGTCTCCATTTTGTTAAAGGGATTGAATGGGATGATTATATATTTTTGTATTATTTCGACAGTGGAAATCTACGGTTAATTTGTATTTAACCAGTGATAGTTATGCCAGTATAATAATTAATGTTTGCCTCCCATAGTGTTAGAATTTCAGACAATTTACTTTGAAAATTTTGTTTATCGATAAGTTTGTAGTTTGTGGGTACATCACTATTAACACATTCAGTGCCATCGACTTGCTTTTTAAGTTTTTAGACTTTGAAAAACGTCGAGGTGTTGATTAGATTGGTTAAAAAAACTGGTGTAATTTTCACTTTGGGATAAAATTGATGACTAAACCAAAACTAACTGTTCACTCATTTAATAAAATTCACAGACTAACAATAATTGTGTTTCAAACATACAGACAATCTAATTTTATTTGCTATAATTGTGTCACTTCATCAATGCCTTTATGCTTTTAGGATCTCTTTTAAGTTATCTTGAGAGACAATTTGAGATGCTCTGATTTATTTGAGAATTACCTTTTCATATAAATCTTGCAATTTCATTATTTATAGGGTTATTAAATTTGATGTAAAAAAAAAATTTTCGCTGCAAAAAAATCATCTACAGCGTGTTCTAATTAGCAAATTTTATTTTATACTTAGTACAGTTTTTTACTCTTTTTTGTAAATTTTTCAGACTGATTTTTTAATTTTTTTTTTGCATATAGTATTACAATTGTCTATCAAGATATCTAGCTGTAATTTCAAGGTGTTCCTTCCTTCACGTTCAGTGTCAGCTTAGCACCGCTTGTCATGCATTGTCTATGTTCCAATTCACAAATACCATATTCAACTATTGGAATTGTTTTTTTTTGTCACTACCTATTTTGGTATAGATTTTTGCGCCCGATGGGACTTGATATTTTCCTCAAATAGATTTTTTTTGTTCTACTAAACAAAGGGTTGTGGAAAAGGACACGTTACAGATTTCGAAAATGAAAATTGAGCTCTTTTTGATAATGTTCTGTTTTATGAATTTGGTTTTAATTTGTGACATTTCAAAAAGGGCTCTGAAAAATTTCTTTTTGTTGTATATAATATCCATTTTTTTTTACACTTGTCTCTGTCTCTCACTTTGTCACTCGATAATTAACCCATTCGTAATGTCTCTTGTCATAATCGATTTCTGTGTTGTTTTTTTTTTAATTTTCGATTTGTATTTTTTATTGATTGTCGACTTGTCTCCCTCTAAATCCGAGCTCCGACTTTTTGTATAGTTTACATATTATTTTTTATAGTTTTTTTTTGTTTTGGTCTCGCGTCGATACAGGGGATGCACGATGCTATAAACTCCTTACCTCCCTGAACTGATTTTGCGCACATATTTATATATATATATTTTGTACATCGAACACTGTCGTGATAGATACGGTTTCTCGGTTTCCGTTTTGTTAAACAGATCGTTCATAATTTAGGATTAAAAGCATGTTGTATTCCCCTAAAATTAAATGCCTCTTTTATTTTTATTTCGTTTTGATAATTAAAAGTGTTAGAACGAACGCAATGCTATGCTTTTAGTGTTGTCCATTTCGCATATCGATAGTTTTAAAACGTAAGTATTATATGATTTTACCTCGACGTCGTGAGAGGTGTACGGATATTAACTTGACATCTCTCGTGCATCCCTTGTGTAACGCGACTATTTTATCTCTAACCGTACGCTTCTACTAACGAATGTCGACGGTCGTATCCTTTCCGTTTTTTTTATTATCGATATCGATAGTCTATCCACAACCCTTTACTATTGCAACGTGACGGACTTAGTTCATTTGTATTTTTTTATTATTATTTTAAACAAGGGAGTGTTTAGTATTGTGCATCTTTGCGACGCGAGAACAAGTGTTGCCATGAGAAATCGTTTTAATGGCAACCCGGAGTTTAGTGATTAATCGAAATTGTGAACAAGAAAAGGCGGACCGGAGATGAAGAGGGTGGTGTTTAGAGGTTTCACTGACAACGTTCAATTATACGCAGGTTGAATCAGAATCCGTGATCGAAGACATCGACTGCTCGCGAGAAACAAGAAGGATTAGGCTAATGTATCGAAATAGGAAATAAATGTGCAAATCAAAATGTTAAGCTTCATACAAACATGTATCTCACAATTTTGGACAATAGATTGTTTAATTCTATTCAGGGTATTATTGTTACAAAGTTGATTCGTAAACTTAAATAAACAGATTTATATTTGCAATAACTAGAGAAATAACAAAATTACTATATTTTTTTGGTCCTTTGATGCGCTGAATAGAGAATCGTAACCTACTTTTTATTTAACAAATTGAATTATGTTATAGATAAGCGTAAGCGGTCAATTTAGATCGATATCATTACATTTTTTATGATTTTTTTTATATAGCGCGGCGACAAATCTGTACATATGTTGTTTCTGGAACTATAGAGCAAACATTTGAGATTGAAGATCATGTACAAATTGGATAGTTTTTCAATCTAGATTGATCAATTTGTACAATTTGGATTGTTTTTATTTGAATTTACGAACATGTATATTTTGGGTTTTCACTCAATCGATACTAATGAACTGGTAATATTCGGATTTTTTTTTAAGAAACAATGTGTGGCAGAGAACTAGTCCCGTCGCGTGATGTCACGCATTTCATATTAGATTGTAAGATGTTCGAAAATGATTGTCTTTCGAACGACTTTTGTTACATTCCACGTTTCAAGTTGATTTTCTTTTTGTCTCTAATGCAAAGTTTGCACAAAATCGTCGGTAATTTTTATATATTGAATTTAATCGACTGAAAATATCATTGGAAAGTAGAATCCCATTCAAAGATATCCTAAAATTCTACAAATAACTGCGATTTATTATACTTTGGTTCAACTTTACGAATATACCGGAATAAGAGGTGGTCAAACGCAATGCGTTTAACATAACCTCAAAATCTGTATGAATTAACACAAACCTCGATTTGAGCTGAACTCTTAGAAAATTCATAAAGAATTACTTTAGAGTTACTCTATGGGTTTTGAGAGATAACTTGGCTTACTTAAGTTAAATAAAACATTACTATGCGGGTTAAATAACATGACATTTCTTACTATCTCATTTTTACATTTGAAGGTTATTTAAAAATAGTTAAATAAAAGATTACGCGGTTATGTGTGGAATTTTTGTGATATTGCTTGAATTATAAGTATGTTTTTAGGAAACATTGGCTAAATTACTTTTTTTTACGTTTCGAAACTAATATTTGTTTACTAAAAAACTTAACGGTCATAGTATATAGTATTTTGTGAACAGAGTGATATGTAACATAGATGTAGTTATCTAGGTATATAGCTCGGCCCTAGATTTTGGTACAAATACTCAAATGTTACCGTAAGCCTGATTCTATAAAACTGGTTCGTAACTTTGAGCGGATTTTCGTACTCTCATATACAGCGTGTTTCAAAAATATAAAAAATACATATATGAAAAAAAAACGATCTCTATTTTTGTGAATAGGAAAATTTACGAAATTATTCAATCTATAATTTTTTAAATTCTAAAATCACTGTTAAATCAATATGTATAATATATAGTAGTTTTTTTTTGTTAGATGATAGAAGTTTCCATATTTTCATATTATTCGTACGTAAGTTAGTACTAGAGATTTATAAATTTGTACATATTTGTACGTTTGCGTGGAGCTTGTAGTGTGATCCATACGTAGGTTTTTGTTATATCCAGAATTCCATAGAAAAGTACATTAAATGTTGATTTAACCCTGGTTTCTAAAGTGGCTATTTTTGTTAATTATATTCCATTTAACACTTTCATTTGATATTAAAATCTTATAAATTGTATTGAAAATACAGAAGTTAGTAAACGTTTTAAATTAACAAAAAAGATTAAACGTACAATTTAGTTGCTCATGTTTTTTTTTCTTTTGTTAAAGTGTAATTTCATTGATGTAACGTAACATTAGTGTCAGTAACAAGTTGATTATGTATTTTAGTAATTCAAAAAATCAACAGAATTGACTTTATTGCGATATTCAGTATAAGCTCTGTTCAAAGAACTAAATGAAATAAAGATCATAAGTTTTGCTTCAAAATCGACTCGTTTGTTTTTTTGTACTAATTTTTGTGTAACTAGGAAAATTTGTGGGAGGAATTTTATATAATTAGGTGCTGAACGTTGGTACATCACAAAAGGTTTTTTTTTAGGAAATTAATATATTCTTTGACTTAGAGTATCTATAAAATGGGTATTCAAATGCAATAAAGATTGCTAGTACTAATGCAGAATATCTTTGGTTTATAATTAAAAATGTACTTTGTAAAAAAAAACACATACTCTATATGTTATTTGCAATAAATTGTAATATGTGAAAAGTGACATTTTTTATTTTGTATTTTTTTGAAAACATAACCAGTATTATAGTTGTTTTTCTAAACATGGTACGATAACACAGGTATATAGAAAATCGTATTTTTTTAATAATTTAGAAGTTTCATATTACAGTACATGTGTATTATTTAGTGTATTCAAAAACACTAGTTCAAGACGATTTTTTTTTTTAAGTATTGGGTATTATTTTCTCGATAATTGTTTTAGAGAAATAACTCGATTTACGCAATATTTAATTTTCATATTTACTTTATTATTGAGGTAGCTTTGATTTTTTGTAATTTTAGTAAAATTTCAATATTAAAGTGTAAAGTTTTTTTTTAATGAGAGAGAGAAAGCGATTGGAATACAGTGTGTTGTGTAAACGTGTTCTAAATACAAAGCAATATGGATTATGTGAGTGCTTCTTTGGATTAACAGATTTTTTGATTAACAAATTGTTGTTTTATTAAAAAAATATACCCAAATGCTCCTTTTTAGTTTAAGCTGGAAATTCTCTACAATTTTAAAACGATTTTTTTTCAAATATTTATACTGTCACGTTGCAATAGTTTTGTAATTTATTTTACTCAGGAAATACTTAAATGAAATGATTTTTTCATATTTTTTTATCAACACTACTCATGTTTGAACTATAAGAACAACAGAGATGTATCAAGCAGTACATAAGTTACTAAGTATAACTTAGCAAGTTATTTCGCCAGCTTATCGGTGTTGGGTGAATCGACTGGGCGACAGAAACCGCGCATATTTTCCTCTTTGGACATTCAGCGGAGGTATATAGACTATATCAGGAAGTTTTTGTGTTTACGTTTATTTTTTCTGGTTTTTGAAAGTTTTTTTTTTGGTGAGGCAATGACGACACGTAGTGGAGAGTTTCAGTGGTGATTTTAACATATAGTATGATTGTAACTATTTTAAAAATAATTAGAATAGAAAGTGAGTTTATAAATATAAGTAGTAACTACTTAGATTTTAATTTCATAAAAAAAAAAAGATTTTTTTTTTAGTAAATTTTACTTTTAATTTTCTTTTTTTAAACACACCATCAGTTGTTATCGTTCTAGTACATAAAATGATAAATACTCAGGAATGGCCACAAAAAAACCACGCTACGTGTTCGATCAATGATTTTTTTTGTTTGTTCCATAAGTAGTCCAACCGATTTTTTAAATTTTAGTGTTTCAAACATTTTTTGACATCTAAATATCATAAGTATTTCATGTTGAGATCATAAATGTAACAACAAAATAATGTTTTTTTTTTTTTCAATTAAAATTTTTGAACATCCTGTATGAAATTGGCTGGATTACGTCAAATAACCGGTTCTAATGAGTTTGTTGATGTGACCTTGAATGCGAGTTTTTGATGATTTAACTTTTTTAATTACAAAAAAATATTCGCTTTATATTTTACTAATTGTGTGATACGTTTTTTAAACCCTAATGTATTCATTTTTAACGGTTTTCATCTTTGAAATTTTAAACAATTTTAACAATCAGTTATTGTTTAAACGCGAGTTAGAATAAATTTCTACATTATATTGGAATAGTTACAAATTGCGAAATGCAATATGGTTGAGAGATATTTTTGTGAACTGTAATTGCGTTTAGTAGGTGAAATTTAACAGGCAAGATCGTCTTTATAGACTAGAGTGAAACTATAAAAAATAACATTTATATAGCTTTCTCAATCTTAATTAACTTCTAGGAATAAAAGTATAACAATATTTATACAAAGACGCATGATTTTTTAAAAATTTCATTCATCATAAATCTTCACTCATTTAAATGCAGGTAAGTTTTTTAATTGTTTCGCATGATTTGATCTAAGTTTATATTTTGTGCGTGTTCGCCTGCTTTTGTGCTTTGTCGTGTGTTTCACCTTTATTAAGCTGTCGAAATTACAAATTATTTAATAATGAAAATATAAAAAATATTTTTCTATAATTTTAAACACCCTGTAATTTTAAATTTATTTTTTCCTCTTAACTTTATATTCATGTAAGAACTTTTTTGTTTGAGATATTTATGGTATGATGTAATGCCGAGTCTTAATTGCAATTTTTTTTAACTCTGTAGTTAATGGGCATTTTACTTTAGGCCCTAGTGTTTAGTTTTAGTTTTTATGTTTTCTGTTTTTAGGCCATTGGACGGTAACACTCCGAAGCATGCGGTAGGCGCTAGCCCAGCCCTGCTTGGGTAACTATTCTTGTTTTATCCTATGTTTTAGTCTAGATTTTTGTCTGCTCAATGTTTGGCATTATTGTATTGTCTATGATCGTTTAGGGCATTTTTTAGTTCATTTTTTTAATCTGTAGTTTTTTGGTTGAATGCGATTTTTTTCTTATTACAGTTATCTAAATAAATGCAAATGTTCTTGTAAACATATCTTGTTTTGCTATATTATATATATTTTAGTGAAAAGGCGCCTAAGGTAACAAAATGCTTGCATTTGCCTCATAATTGCATTAATATCATTTTTATCTAACTAGTATTCGCAATCCATTTTCATGAAATAACATTAAGTGCTAAGATAAGCTAAAAATAACTTAAAACACATTATTGGTTATGTAAATTTAGATATTTAAGACAAACAAAAAAACAAATTGACCTTTGAATAAACAAAAATAGTAAGACTTTAGTTAAGTTTAGTTAGTTTTAATTTTTCAACTTTAGAATATGGATTTTCACTTAGTTCAATCACAATAGAAATAAACAAATATGTGAATAATTGCAATTCACGTTAAGAAATATAAACTCAACAACAAACAATTGCAATAAATGTACATACATATGTAACTACGAACTGTTAGTCTAAATGTTAAAAACAAGCAATTACAATAATTGTACACTCATAACAATCCCCTCTCGGGGGCCCCTGTGCCTGCTCACTCCATGGAGCATCCACCGAAGCGATCTAACAGTTCGGTGGCCTCCCAATCCGGTAATAATAACGAAGTAACGGCTCCCGCCGAGGCTCCTGAGGGAGCCCTCAAGCTTAGTTACTCATAAACGAGGTTTAGGCTAAGCGCCATCTGCGCGGTCACCTCAAGCCCGGTGAATATGTAAATGCCTCTTCAAGGCAAACAGTGGCCATTCAGTCACAAAAAAAAACTCGATAACAAAACAATTGCAGTAAACATATGTAATTACAAACAGATCTAAATCCAAATTCAAATAACAAGAGATTGCAATAAATGAAAACTCAATAACAAACAATTACAATAATTGTAAACTCAATAACAAACAATTACAATAAATATATGTAACTACAAACAGTCTAAATGGAAATTCAAATAACAAGAAGTTGCAAAATATGTAATTTAAACTGCAATTTACAATACAACAGTGAAGGTCTGTGCGTGTGTACGATGTAGTCGTGTTGCAGGCAAGGCAACGAGGAGCAGGTGAAGCCGCGCGTGCTGCGCTTCACCTGGAGCATGAAGACCACCTCCAGCAGAGACCCTAACGAGATCATGGCCGAAATACGCAAGGTATTACTTCCTCATTCAAATATTAGTGTATTTCACAACTTTCAGGTTTATTTTCTTTAATTTGAAAATATTTCCTTTAACCATCCCAACTAAGTTCTAAGCTTGTGCTAGAATATAGTTCACAAGTCGAATAGCGGGATTTGAACCGTCGACCGTAAGATTGGTAGTCCGTACTGTTGTACGGAAATCTGAAGTTGATTTTTTAAAAAAAGGAGAAAAGAAAAAAAAATATTTTTAAATGTTTAACACTATACTGAAATTGAAATACATTATAAAACGATTTAGTAAAATTTAGTAGTAAGGATTTAGTAATTAAATGCTACGACACAAAGAAACGAGTGCCTCAATTGAGAGCAGAAATCGGACTAACTGTTGTTACTAATATTACAGACGTATTACAGAGTTTTTTGTAATGAATGCTGATTTATCACTTAATGTGTTTATATGGTGCAATGCTCATAGAAAGATATAGATATAATTGTACCCCAAACCATTAGGCTATTGGCGTGTAAGAATTAATGTTGATTTTGTTGAGCGTCGGTGTCTCAATAGTTTACGCACTTAACTTGTAATCTACAGGTGTTGGGTTTGAATCTTGCTGTACCTGTGATTTTTTTATTTTTGTATTTCATTGTACATAACTTACTCGATGTTCTTACGGTGAAGGAAAACATCGTGATGAAGATATCAGCGACGAGATTTTACGATATTTGTTAGTTGATCCGCAGTGGGCCAACATTGATTATGGCCTAGTCATTTACTTAGGGTAGACTGACACCCTCAGTGGACGTTTAGTGAGCTGATGTTTTCTAGGTGCTGGACGCCAATAACTGTGACTACGAGCAGCGCGAGCGGTTCCTACTTCTGTGCGTACATGGAGATCCCAACGCGGACTCCCTGGTGCAGTGGGAGATCGAGGTGTGCAAGCTGCCGCGACTCAGCCTCAACGGTGTGCGCTTCAAGAGAATATCTGGTAAATATGAAGGATTTTCTTTTCACCAGTTGAGAAATTAAGGAATAGAAGGTTAGCATGGTATGGACATGTTATGAGGAATCGCATGCAAGAAGGAATTCAATTATGAGTGTGTATATGGGTAGAGGAAGATAGAAAGAGATGGTTGTATTGCGTGAAAGGAGACGTAATGAAGAATGGAATGATGACTGAGATGACGGAAGATAGAGTTATTTGGATGAAGACACTACGGGCTTAGGATAAGATAGGAGAGATGACTTACCACCTAATAGTAAAAAAAAAACATTATTTTATAATTCTCTTGATATAA